TGCTCTGATCCACTAGCCCCCACTCCCCTCCTAGAGCCGGGGAGAGAACCCAGGAGTCCTGGCTCCTAGCCCCTCCCCCCAAAAAACTCACTCAATAACCACACCATCACTGGCCCCTGTCCTTTTTTGCGTTGTCCGTTTATTGAGTGCGCTCGTTAAAATACATGTCTAAATCCCCCCCCCTTAGCTTGCTGTGTTATTACCCCCTCCTCCGGGGGGCGCTGGTCAGTCGTGTTACATGAGGTATCCGCGAGAGAACATTAACCAAAAATATAGTCCTTGTAGCATAAATAAGCTGCCTGGAGGGGGGGCTGGTTTTGGGGGTCCCGCCTGCTTCTATCCCCCCTCTCCGGGGGTTAATCCCAGCTGGGTTATTTAAGGGCACCACCTTGTGCCCGGCTGGAGTAGGACACCCAATATTGAGGGTGCTAGGACCCCCCACCCCGCACACAAGGTGGGCTGTTGCGGGAGGGGGACCCCAGAGCTTTAAGGTTGGGGGGGCACAGAGCTAAGGCAACAGGCGTTGGGGGACCTGGGGCCTCCTCAGAAGAGACCAGGGAGTGCAGAAGAGGCAAAACCCCTAGAAGGATTTTTTTGGGGTGCAGAAGCAGCTTGGGACCCCGCCCGCACCGGGGTGGTGGAGATGGAGAATTCAGGTTGCAGTGATCTGGGGCTGCCTGGAAAAAATGGGGAACCCCCCCCAGTGAGCCCTGAATGAGGTGCAGACGAAGAATAGGAGATAGTGATTTGGGGCCCATGGGCAAAAAAGGGGGACCCCTTCCCAAGCAGTGATGGGAGGAGATTGAGAGGGTGGGGGGCAGTGATTTGGGGGTACCTGGGAAAAATGGGTACCCCCTACTAAGCAGTGAAGGAATGTGGGGGTGCAGACATAATGGGGTACAGTGCAAGCTGAATGAGGGGGAAAGGGGCCAATTGTGGGGTTGAGACCCCCCCATATTGCAGCCTCAGTTTGGGGGCATCTCTCCTCCCCTGCTCATTACAGGCACCAGGTTTCAGGGGCTCTAAGGCCAGGCCTGTCAGCTAATCCCACGGGGGTGTGCGTCCCCCAGGTCCTGGCCGTGCGCCCCACCCCCGGAGGCGGGACGTCCCGGCCTGGCGCGGTCTCCAGGAGTTCCCCAGGCCCTCGCCAGGAGCTGAAGAACATCTCCAAGGTCCTGCCCCACTGTCCTCCTCCGGCACGGCCGGGGGGGGCTCCCCCGCCTCACAGCTCGGTGCAGGTGACGGGGGTGAGGCCGTGCACCAGCAGGGTGGGCCCCAAGTCCCGGGTGAGGATCTCCAGCTGCTCCAGGTACCGCTCGTACATGGAGGTGTCGGCCGGCGGCCGGGGCAAGTAGAGGAACCTCACGGCAACCTGTCCCCCCTGCTGCAGCACCAAGGCGTTGACGGCCGCCAGGTACTCGTCCGTCACCCGGTGGGCGGCCGGATTGAGGAAGGGCTCGCCGGCTGCCGGCCGCTGGCCGTGCAGGGCCACCACGTGGTCCCAGGTGACCGCCCGGATGGTGGCCTTGATACGCAGCTTGGTGAGGAGCTCTTTGAGTTTCTCCTCCTTGGCCACCCAGCCCCGGTCGCCCGACTCCACGCAGAGGAAGAGGCGGAGGCAGGCGGCCCGCCAGGAGCTGACCATGGTGAGGATGCAGGCCAGCTGGAGCAGGAAGAGGCTACAGACGTCCACGTACGCCGGGGTGTCGGGGCGCAGCAGGTTGAGGGGCCACACGTCCACGAAGCAGCCCTCGGCCTTGGAGGAGAAGAGCCGCTCCTTGTCCAGCAGCGGGAAGTAACGGGCCAGGCAGACGTTCTTGTGCATCTTGACAGCGTCCGAGAGGATGGAGACGTACTCGGCAGCCAGCAGGGCTTTGGGGACGCCGGCCCCGCGCACGGCGGGGAAGTGGGCCTGGAGGGCCGGCAGGTCCACCCCGAAGTGGTCGTTCTCCCGGGCCTGGCTGAAGGCCGGGTCGCGGAGGAAGTAGTCGTCGGGGACGCAGGCGTCGTAAAAACCCAGCACCAGCGTGTTGGGCTTCATGCCGCCTGGGGGGTGGGGAAGAGAGAGAGTCAGCAGGGCTGAGATGCAGCCACCTCTGGGGCAGGGCGGCTGGTGACACAGGGACCCCTCGCCCAGGGCTGAGATGCGCCCACCTCTGGGGCGGGGCGGCTGGTGACACAGGGACCCCTCGCCCAGGGCTGAGATGCGCCCACCTCTGGGGCGGGGCGGCTGGTGACA